TTACTGGGACAATGTATCGTCCAGCAAAATTTATTGTGAGAGATTTAAGAACTGTTCTGATAATCAAGCATTGTTATGATGTGTAACCATGGCAACAATATTTTTGTGCTGGTTTGTGTTTTGTTTTGTTTTTTTTTCAACCAGGAGCAGCTAACTGGTTGCTTTTTTTGAGCAAAAGCTCAAAGTACAACCTATAGAAGACTGATTCAGGCATCTATTACTTGATCTATAGATGCTTGCCAACTTAATCAAACTTTTTTTTTAAACACATTTTTAAACACATTCATTTATGAAAAATATCCCCAAACCTTACCAGAACATTCCTGGGTCTGCCACTCCATACACTGGCCGTACGGGAAAGAGATGACGTACGCTGAGGAGTCCACGCACCTTTGGGTGCTCCCACACCACATGCAGTCCATGGCCTGGCTGGTGCAGTTGGCACAGCTGGTCCGCAGGGCGCATGGCGTCTTGCAGGGACGAGCGTTTTGACTCTGCAGACTCCCTGACCAGCGGGACAGAAGGACAGACGTGGACGGAGACAGAAAATATCAATCAATTATGAGTTTGTTTTAAGAATCACAGAAAACTGAAGCAGAAAACAGATTTTAAAGATGTTTGATGATCCAAATGACCAATTTTCACATCCTGAAGTAATGAAGTTGGCACATGAGCACGTCATTAAAATATGTCATATTTTAATCACTTCTTATTTAATCCAAAACCTATAGTTTCAGCCCTTAGAGTCTCATCCTGTGAACTGAACCAGTTCTTCTACCTCCCCCACCATTTTGTCTCATTCATTCCTCCTCACCAGCAGCTTTTTCACAGATCAGGCCGTCAGTGATGGCAGTGCAGGGATTGGCTTTAAGTCCGGCTGACTCCGTTCTCTCCAAAAAGGCGCAAAAGCCTGAGTCACTGGGCTCCCCCGGCAACCATCGCAGAGTGGTGTTGGTGAATGGGGACGCGTCCTCCCAGCCCCAGTAGGACACGTTGATTTTCCGCAGGCCCACCCATGGAGATAACCTCTGTGAAAGAACAGCTTTGTCATATTAATCTGCAGTCTCTGTTGAAAACTATCAATATATGTAGATCCTGGTTGACTGTTTGACCAAAAACAGCTGCTAACAGATACCAACACATTCAAATGTGCAACAGCATGACATCATCTCACATAAACAGGGAACCAGTACTGTATGAACTGCCTGTTCCTTTTGTGTCACTTTCTCTAGGAATCTACTTTAAGCTATGCTTCAAGTACTGACACTTCTCATAGTCTGTCTTTATTGCTCTCTAAATTATTTGCTTCATAACAGGGATTTTAAAGACACCAGCCACCCACTACAATGTTTAAAATAAAAAAATATTCAGCAAACACCAGGAAAATATACGTTGTTGTGCTCACATGACCCAGGTTAGTTTAGTCAGATATTTTAAAAAATTATATTTTGTGAATATTTTATTCAAATCTTGTGCTTTATC